AACTCTGAGATCCAGGTACATCCAGCTGACGAATACCAAATAGGACGAAACGCGCGTCCTGGACTCCACTACTAGCCACTATCCACCTTTGCTTAAAATTTCTGTTCCCTTTAAAAAAATATTTATAAGCATTCTAATGTACATTAATAATTGAAGAATAATTTTGTTTGAACAAACTACTTGATAATAAAACTTCAATTATTTCTTGATTAAAACAAAAATTGCATGAAAATTTTAAATAAACAAAGTTAATCACCATTTATTTTCTTAATCGACTTATCCATTAGTTGTGAATTATGTGAATAATTTATAATTGAGTCATTCTATTCATGATCTTCACTATTTTAACAGGTAAATAAAAACAAAAATAATTAAACAAACAAAAAAGAGGGAAATAGGAATTGAAGTGTATTTGTATCTTAGTGAATAAGCATTGATGAATACATAACGAAGAAGTTAGGTAGATAGATAACTATTTCATGTCCAGCTTAGATATTGTGTGACTGAAGTAATTATTCATGTTAGAACCTTATTATTACTATTATTACCGTTATTATTACGATTACTATCATTACTATTATTATTATTACTATTATTACTACTATTATCATTATGATTATGATTATCTATTGTGGTACATTGCACATTGTATCTATCCAAATATGAATATATGAGCCATAAACTATATTTTTTTACACTAACTAGTAACATGAATATTATCTTATTGATAAATACTAGAAAAACAAAAGAAAATAATAATGAATGATGCCTTTCGTTAAAATTTATCATGTTATTTGCATGTTTCTATAACGTAGGGATAGTTAAAGTGACACTCTATAAATTGTACTGGTCATTTCTTTTAATAATTTATTTACATAAAATCTTTTTTTAGCTTTTATTATCCTTACTATGGTGATGTATGCTACTGATATCGACAGATATAAGTAGTATATATCATCAATCGAAAGTGAAATATTTGGTGGTAGAAGATTAAGAAGATAGAACAGTAGAGAATGAGAATAGAGAATGATTAGTATGGAAGTGATGGAACAATGAAGTTTGAGGCGATTGATTAACATCTTGTAAATGTAGTATTTACTGTACGGCTCTTGGATTTTATTAAGATATTCTGTAATTTTGTACTCGAATACATTTGATAGTCCCCACTTGTGTACTCGTTTACTACACTATTATTATAGTTGTCATTATTATTAAGAATGTATGTTTGAGAACTTAATGAAGTCACAAAACAAGGTATAATTCTTTAGAAAAGAATTCTAGTGAACTATTATATACGAAATATATAAAAACATATAGGAGGGAAGTTAAGTAACTTGTTTATCACATATTAAATACTTATCCAGGATGTCAAATAGTTGTTTAAGAATGACTCATTATAATATTTGGTAAATGAATTGCTGGATAAATCAATTGTTTTCGAGTCAGCGTTCATTGTTCATGTTTACATTCAACAAGAATAATACCTCCGTTGATGTACGTGTATAATGACATTAAGTTTTTGGAAGTAATATGTGGGACGTTTTTCAATTAAGATATTTATCGGTAAAAACAAGTCTATAGATTCAAGTTGAAATAGTTTGGATTATTGGGTTGTTGATATTTTTATTGTCGTTTCATCAATCTTGGTTGGCATATGTACATTCTGTGAGAGTTGTTTTGATATAGCCATTGTTTAACAAGCTTATATAATACAGATAGATGTTGGCTGTCTTAACTCACCAGTTAAATGGATAATGCTTGAGCTTTTGAAGCGAACTATACTGAGTTCGAACCCCGTAGTGATCATAGCTTCTAACTAGAACTTCGGATATTTCATTTCGAAGCCAGTCACTAGTGATCTAAACAATTAGAACAACCTCCATAACTACACACTGACATATAATTGATTTTTTGGATTCATTTCTGGTTTTTAAGTGATAATTGAATCTGTCTGTAGCTAGAAATCGCTAGTTGATCCTAGTTTGAAAGATAGAAAACTGGATGCATACTCAGTAGTCTGAAGGTTCAGTGCTCACCTGAAGATCCTTGTTTCAATCCTTCGTGGGATTTCGGATGCATATTGTCAATTAGGAGTCTCACACTACAACTAAACAAATTTCTGGTACTTCTTGTTCTTCACTGATTGTTTATCTGAAATCAAATTATTATATAAAAACACCGTCACTCAGTAATCTCTAATAATTGCGCTTCATGATGCTTGCAAGTCCTGGATTCAATACCTATCGATTGGTATATACGTACTGTAACTAAATAGTCTCATACTAGGACTGATGGGTTGATCAGTGCTTATTGCTTTCAATCATTGTCTAATTATTTTTCCATTGATAATGTAAAATTTCTTCAACATTATCCTATCACAAACACAAATAAAAGTCTTAATACTTTACATATTTATTTTTTAAATTATATAATGAAACGAATCTGAATAATTTCACTAGTTGAAACCATGAGTCAATTGAAGCTGGACCACCATGGAAAATCTGGAAACACTGGACGGCCATCTCATCCTAATAAGAGACTCCTCAGCAGTGCGCACCCACGATCTCGCCTCGCGAGATTCGAACAAAAGATTTATCAGTCTCACGCGCAAACGCTTAGCCACTAAACCACTGAGCCGGCCCGCATCCAACGGTGTTAATGTCTAACTTCAACTAATCCACGAAATTGAGCGACACATCTGCCATTGTCTTCAGTGAGTTGATATCTCACAACAGACCTGGTTGAACTCCACTGGTAACGGCTTCTCACTAGAACTCCAGGAGTATCTCTTGAAGTCAGTCACTGAATAAACTTTAGGTTCATATTGATTTTGTTTGCATTAAAGTGTTTTACATTCTGATACTTTTGTTACTCTACATTAATGGCCTATTAGAATTTTACAAGTGAATCAATTTCTATAGATAAAATATAAACAAATTACTATGATTTTTCACTTTCAATATTTTATGAATCATTTGTATATTAGTATAATGTAATTTGTGTATTTGATTACATGCTGTTCTGTTGTTGGTCTATTTAATATAACATTAAGCTTAACTAAACGTCTATCATAGAAAGAGTAGTCAATACCTAAAGATTCATATTTCTTACAAATAAATGTTTACAACAGCTGACGATATATTGAGTGTAAATATAAATATTATTAAGATATTCGAAATGACATGATTATATCACTAAGGTATATTACTATATGATATGTTGTGTACATAAACTTAATATAAGGGTAAACACACATATATATATATATATGAGAGGTGAAAGATCATTTCTATTGAAATGTTGTAATCTTGAATGTACTTTATTGTAAAATAGATGAATAGGTAACCTTAACCAAGGTAAGATAAATACATATTTATAAGGAAAAGAAAGTATAGTTTTCAAGGATGATGTTTTATTCAAGTGATATATGATTATACTGATTCAATATTGGACTATATTTAACCTATAACAGCATACATAAGTGAACAATACTGTTTCCAATTAGATTCTCATCAGGCTGTACTCTTAATATACAGTGATATTTATATGCATATACGGAATTATTCAACCAATCAAGGTAGCAGTGATGGATAGTGGCTAGCAGTGGAATCCAGGACGCGCGTTTCGTCCTTTTTGAGACTCATCGGCTGGATGTTCCTGCATCTCAGAGTTGATGTTCACTCTACAACTCGAACCCAGTACCATTCGCTTCAAACGCCATTGTGTTATCCACTCAGCTACTTAGTTCTGGGATGCAGGTACATCCAGTTGATGAGTCCCAAATGGGACGAAACGTGCGTCCTGGATTCCACTGCTAGCCACTATGCATCATTGTTTACAAAAAGCTTGTGAATTAAGGCAATATCGAGGCAATACGCACAGTATGGACATATGCCAATAACAGACTGATCAATTGCAGTCTTAAACCTCAATGGGAAGATACAAGCCAAACAGTACCAATTGAACAATCAAGGTAGTTTATGAGCCAATGATAACAATAGAATGGATTACATAAATAAACATAATAAATGAAAAGTGCAAATTGGTAGTGTGATAACAGATGCATTAGTTTGGATAAGAATAATAAAGGCTTAAATCAATGTTATATAATCAGAAATAGGTCAATAATTAGATACAAAAATAACATTCATAGAAAGATTATAGGATTACGTAATAAGAGGTGTTTAAATAATTGGACCGTGAAGAGAATACCTGAGAAAAGAAAAGAGTGGGAGAGTGTGAAGAAAAATAAACAAAAAAAGAGTATGGAAAATAATAGTAAATAAATTATTTATTAAGGCCAAGGGTAAGATAAGGGTGTTACAAATTTCTTATGAACACAGAGACTTGGTTTGTTGGCTCGAATTCCTATAGCTTTTGGTATGTGTAAAAGACGAGATCGAACACCATAGGGTAAATTAGTAAGAATACAATTAATAACTTTAAACGACTTATTTCTGTCTACTACATGACAACTATCCATCAAGTGTGATACAAACGAGCTACCTATTGTCTTGACAGTATCTCTTCCTAACTATGAAGGCAAGTGTTTACTAATTCTCTAGTCCTGTTGTCTGATAGTGCACCCAATATAGCTTTCTCTACAGGACATACAAACTGAGATTTTAAAAAGTTTATTTTAAATCATTTCAATCTGTTTAATATCGAACTACATTCAGTTTGTTATTTCTGTCTTAGGTATTCATGACACTTAAAATATCTAACCAATCAATTTAATTGGTGCCAAGTACACCGTACAATCAATACAAACACTAATAATAATATAATGAAATAGATTTCCGAGATCTAAACCACTGATTGATCAGTCTTCTTTGTAACGTTCTATTTGATATTTATCAAAATAGTATATTAATATAAAAGCACACAAAAATTATTTTGTTTTATCTACTAGATAACATCCATAACAACAAATCACAATCAATTAACAGTAGAGATGAATAAACATAATCGTATTCAGCAGTCTTCTATAACTGTTTACAATGTCTTCAGGATTAGTATTACCGTTTAATACTACTACTACTACTACTACTACTACTACTACTACTACTACTACTACTACTACTACTACTACTACTACTACTACTATTACTACTATTACTACTACTACTACTACTAATACTACTGATCATAATAATGTATTTCCTGATTTTATTATTCATTCATTTAACAAGTCAACATTTTAAACAAATCAAGAAACAATACAGGAAACAAGCATTTCAATGTGATGATTTTACGTGAAAAGCAATTTGTTTATAATGTTTAGTTCTTTATAAAGTTAATTTGTTTGAATCTAATAAACATTTTTTTTCTCTCTGTATATATGTATGTTAAACAATGAAGTACTTGATTTCCTTTGTATAAATATATATTCACTGTTCCATTCTACTTATAGAATATGTTATATTGATTCAAATTGGTTAAATCATTCAGTAGTAAGCTATAAGAAAGAATAAGCATAATGATTCTTTATCACTAATAATAGAGATCCTATAGGTATACTGTTTTCTTCCCCAAATACATCAAAATTACCAACCATTTGAGTTATCTTAAATATCAGTCCAAAACGTTTCACAGTGATTAGTAAACAAACATTTAAAGTATATACTGGACATTATTAAAGCATTCTTAGCCCCCCCCCCATTTAAGTAACACATTAAAAAACGATACTGTTGGTGATTTCAGTTTATAATACTGGTGTGGCGTGGATTAGTTGAAGTTAGACATTAACACCGTTGGATGACGGTCGGCTCAGTGATCAAGTGGTTAAGCGTTCACGCGCGAGACTGATAGGTCGTGGGTTTGAATCTCGCGAGGCGGGATCGTGGATGCGCACTAATGAGGAGCCCCACAGTAAGACGAAACAGCCGTCCAGTGTTTCCAGGTTTTCCATGGTGGTCTAGCTTCAATTGATTCATGATCTCAACTACTGAAACTTCTATTATCATCCATTCTTTTCAATAATTCATATTCTCATGGAAAATCAATCTAGTAAGAATTGAAGTCATCGGTGTAATCTGTGCCGTTAATCTTTTTTTTTTCTGCCTATAACAAACTAAAAAAATGAATGTCCATGACATTTCAAATTACATTGATGAGATTATAATTTCTGGATGAACTAATCAGGTATAAAATAACAGGCCATGGATTTGGCGCGAAATTCTCTCATTCATTTGGCTAAATAGAGTTTTAGCATTATAATTAATGTCAGTTCGTGATCAAAATCCTAAATCTAATTCCTAACCCTAATCATCAACTGCAAATCATAATTGTAATTCCTTACACAGCTGTATAACCCTCATTTGATTCTAGTTATTTGGTGGGCATTCTCAAGATCACTCCAGCGTCGCTGAAAGTTCATCCGTGAATTATACTTTCAGCAATATACTTAATAATTGTATTTCTGGTGCTTGGAGACTTTTTTGTAGTTATTTTTTCATAAAACATTTGTTTACTTTCTTTAAATTATTAGAAAGTTCGTACAATCGTTGATCAGAAAGAGAAGCAAGACAAAATGACGCTCAATGGAGAAGGTTAGTGAGCCAGCTTACCTTAACTCAATATTTATAGTCAGACAAGAATAAATTACAGATATGTGATGAGTAAAATAAGAAACGCATACATATACGCTTACATAAAAACTGTCAAGGTTGATAAGCAAATAGTTAACAAGATTAAAATGTGACTTAAGAAGAATAAATAAATTGGCTTCTCCGGAAGCCAGAATAAGCTATGTGGGCTTAACATAACAATTGTATTTATTATTTATTTATTTTAACACATAGATATTAGTACAAGGAGGCACCAAATACATATGCGCCACACAAATCTCATTTGATTTTTGTGAGGGGTGTGATACTGCTCGAGTGACCAGACCGAAACACGTGGTTTTCTTAGGGGGCCACACACGGAGCCTTCGAATTAAAGATCTTACCCAAAAAGCAGTGTAGCATCGTAAGGAGATGTAGTCCCATGTTAGCCGGTGACCAACAATTGGTTCATACTCCATTTGTTCCCTCAGGATACTGGAGCCCACGTGCACCATTGGTTTGGAATGAGGATTTTTCAACTCCCCTAGGTGGACTCACTGCGTCCACCAACCCAGTTAAAGATCCGGACATTCGCTTTTCGTCCTCTCGATTTCGTAAACGATAGTAATGCTACGAGAAGGCAGTGGGTAGGATTTCCCTGGCAGAGGCTATATACGCGTGACTATGTGGGAGTATTTGTCGAGGGAGAACGGACTCTCCCCACTCTTGGCCGTACCAGGGCATTTGGGGGCAGCATAACAATTGACACTACAATATAAGTAAGAACCATAATTATGCATTTTGACGTGTGAGGTTTCCTGTTCTTGATATGAAGGGCTAAATTCAGTAGTCCTTTAATGCACGCCTAATTGTTTGAATGTGTAGCGATTGGATTTAATTCCTGACGTGAAAACCATTACAAAGATCTGACAGCAACATTCATTTGATGAGTCCTGAAGTAGGACAAAATGTACATCAGGAATTTCATTACTAACTAAAATTCAAATATATTAAAGTATTATACATACAATCAAGAAAATTAGATATTATTTTATCATTCATTCAATAATTGGTCTCACTTGAAATTGTTAAGTATGTTTCATCTATTAATATAAATGTTTATCTTGAGTAAAAACGATTGAGTTAAGTTACTTGAATACTTAACAATTTTGAAGATAAACTATTCTACTTCAATAGTTTTGTCTCCTTATCTTTTACACACACACACTCACTCATTTAATCATATATTGTAGATATGAATTTAATCAACTGGAATAAATAATATAGATAGATAGATAGATAGATGGATGGATGGATTGATTGACTGGTTGATTGATTCATGTATAGTTCATTAGGTTTATTTGTATTACTTAACTATACCACACAAAAATACAAAGAAAATCTACTCACTAATTATGCCCCATAGAACCAGAAGAGAAATGAAAATCTTAGTAAATAGAAAATAACAAGAGGAAAAATATCAATATTTACGTCGATTTAATTTGTATTTCTAAAAATTATATGAAGATTCAGTAGACATTTAATAAATCTACTTTTATGTACTTCAATCAAGAATAGATCTGAACATAAACTAATCACTATTCTTTCTTATAAATTCTATGTCTTCTTATGTCTTTTGTCATACTACAGTGTTTGTTCATGGTATTCCTTTACTTTGAATGCCCGCTCAGTGGTTTAGAGGTTAAGCGTTCGCGTACTCGAGACCGTAAGTCTTAGGTTTGAATCCCACGGGTGGGATCATGAATGTGCTTTGCTGAGGAGTCTCACAATAGAATGAAACGGCCGTCCAGTGGTTTCAGATTTCCCATGGTGGTGTAGGTTTGATTGACTCATGAACTCAACTATTAAATTAATAAACAAGTGTTTGTGGTTTGGAATACTTATAGCAGAATCAAATTAAATCATAAGATGCTTATTATTTAATTTATAGAATGAAAAAACAAATGAAACAGGATTAAACAAAATCACAAACTTAATATCCGATGGTAAACATTTGTTACTGTGGTCAATTTATAAGGAGCCTCATAAGAGGAAAAGAAATACAGTCTAGTTTTTTATACTTTTCAATGTTACCTTAACTGATACATAATCAGAAGGGGTTTTGTGGATACTGTAGTAATTTCCATGGTTGAGATCATGAGTCAATTGAAGCTAGACCACCATGAAAAACCTGGAAGCACTGGACGGTATTTTCGTCCTATGGTGGGACTCGTGAATAGTGCGCATCCACGATCCTGCCTTGCGAGATTCGAACCCAAGATTTATCAGTCCAGTACTTCCAGATTTTCCACAATGGTTTAGCTTCAATTCACTCATAATCCCAACCCTTAAAACTGATACATAATCCTTGATGCTTATCAATTACAAATTGTAGTAATCTTCAGAAAATTAGTTTATTTTAAAATATCCAATAGTCGTTTTATCATGCTAAAATAGATGAATTCAGACAGTAGTGTTCTGAGTTAAACTATTGATCTTGGAACTGAGTTTAATTAAATGGTAATGATTATTTCCTTAAAATATTCTCTACATACATACAAAGTCATGATAAAGTGTACAGTTTCATTGTTATTATACGTAAAAATTCAGTACTTTGTCTGGAATTGTTATCTTTTTATAAATAAATAAATTCGCCAAATTAATTAAACCCAAACTGTTCAATAACTCGTGCAAGTTAAACACTAGCATATAACAGATAGTAATTTTAACAATCTCGATAGATATGTACTGTCAGAATGGGGGTTTTTTGTGGATATTATAGTAATTTTGATAGTTGAGTTCATGAGTCGATCGAAGCTAGACCAACATGGAAAACTTGGCAGCATTAGAAGGTCATTTCGTCTTGATATGATACTCCTCGATAATCCGAATGCAAGATCCTTCCCGCTGGGTTCGAACCCATAACCTATCGGTCTAGCGCGCAAGTGCTTAATCTTTTTATATGGAGTGAACAATAACTTAAATGGGGACAATCAATTTACTGTGTAGTGTGCAATTACACAGTTCTTTCATACAGTGTGAAAACCATAAATTCAAATTTTCATTTGCAAATCTTTCAGAAATTGTCTAAAATTTTATTGTCTCTTCATTGCTATTACTCTTTGTTTACATTCTTGTTCCCTTCAGTTCGATCTTCTTAAGCTTCAACTGTCAAGTATTCCACTTTCGATTGTTGTTACATACTATGTATGTCGAAAGACATGTGTAGCGTAAACCATAGACATATCTCAAGCACGATTTTACCAAAAACAACAGTAGCATAATTAGAGCTTATAAAGTACAATTTTTGAGTCAAGCAAAATTACATTATCAAGACTACGTATAAAAATATCATCAAACAAGAATATAATTCTGATATGAACATAACGTCAGTTAGGCAAGTTAGTAAGTAGCTAAAATTAGTAGCTTAGTAAATGAAGCGTTGGAGTTCAAACCAGAAAAAACCAATTGATCCGAGTTCCGATGTGCATATAAACGATTAGCAGAAGCTGGTATATCTAGCTGATGAATTCTGAATAATACTAATTATACGTCCAAGATACTTCTGATAAACCATAATCCGTTCATTTCACAAGATAACGAGAATTAATTATTTTGAAAGAAAAGTTTTGTATTTTTCATTTCTCACTTTTACA